CGCACACATTTCTAATACAATTTCCGCATAATTAAGTGCACTCAAAGGACACTCAGCACTCGGGACAATGCAACGCGCTGAGGATTTATGTGTGGCACTCAAGTGCCGCACCAAAATTAATTCAAATGCGCTGGGAAAAAAGTACAGACAATAACTGGGCCAAAGTTGAGCTAATCCTCTGGCATTTTCTTCTTTTTTCCTGCTTGCTCTAATATTATGCGCTTTGTCGCACCTCGAACTGGCTTTGATTCGGCGCTAATCGCTGAAGTGTCAACGTCACAGGAGACTGGCAAACAGCCGGAGCTGGTCGATTGGCCGGCCAAACAGGCCGTTTGCTTCATTTCCGCGTTTAATCACCCCCCACGGCAGGCAGATGCCTTTGTTCAGCTCATTTTGACACCAGCTCGGGCAGGGCCCATCGCCAGAAATCAGACCAGGAACACTCCTGCAAAACTAATTTCCCGTTAATGAGGGTGCCTGTCCTGTCGGTCTGGTCCGTTTGGTCCTTGATTCTCTCTTTTTACTCTGATTAAGACTTTTCCCACTCACACATGCGTCCTCATTAATAATTTTTGGCATTTTTTTCGTCACCGCTGCCACGGATCGAGATTAATTTGTGCCTGGCCAGAAACTGACGTGTGCGCCTGTCAGAAGGAAAACCTTCGGCCACATTTTCTTTTATCTTCATAATCGAGGCAACTGGGAACTGGGAACTGGCAATTGGGAACTGTGCCACGGAGCGTTAAATTGTTATTAATTGAATTGAGAGTCAAAAGTGTGTGTTATAAGTTTTAATTGGATTGCCAGCTTATCTATATAGAGATTAATAGAGAATTTCTATTGATAAAAAAATTCAGAATCAAATACTAATACAAAATATTGTCTGGCAGTAAAGTGATTGTCAAATTCGTATCGGAATTTCATGTAACCAGCAGAGGAGCCGCCTCTCGACAGTTCATTCCTATGGCAGTTATATGATATGCTAGTCCGATCGACTGTTTCCGGCATATATACTGCCTACAACAGAAAGACGGACCTATAAAAAGCTTCAAGCCGACAACTTTAAAGCAGAGAAAATAGTTCGACAGACAGACATATAGAGGGGGACATGGCTATATTAACTCGGCGGTTGATGCTGATCTAGAATATATATATATATACTTACTTTAAAGGGTCGGAGATATCTCCTACTGTGCGTTACGCATTTCATGACTAAATCATAAAGCCCTCTACAAGATTTGAAGAAATCCAAACTATTTCTTAATGCAATTTCGCCAACCTTCAACTCCCATAAATTTACCAAATATAACCAGTACATTTGAGTACATTTTGCTCTAGGTTTTTTAGTTTCCAAGATATATATTATGCCTTTATAGAGACGGATACACCCTTTACATGGTATTAAAACACTTGCGTATTTAAAGCTTGAAGTCTCGCCTAGCCTCTAAAGATATTAAGGGACATATGGTAAATATTTGTCAGCCAGGCACTCACGAGTGTATTCATCCTCAGCTATTCATAAGCGCAAATATTCATATGTGCCTTATCACCCTCACGCGATCTGAGCTGATCTGGTGAAAAGGCTTGTCATTGCGAGGCATTCGTGTGGAAATCGACAGTATTTCAATAATTTTTTTTATTAGACAACAGCTATGCGCAAAATACGCAGTTGAATGCCTAAACACAATGCTTGGCTGGATAGTTGTTGTAGTTGTTCTTGCTTTGTATCTCACAGATACATTTGCTGCAGGCAAAACAATTTCATTTGTGCTTGAAATGCACCCAAAAGAGCGCGCAAAACAGTGCGCGGTGTTTATTAAATTGTTGCGCCGTGGCCTGAAAAGGAGTGAGAGGTCAGGGAACAGGGACAACTGGGTCGACAGGGCGAAAGGGGCGTACACTGTCAGGACCCCAGACTGGTGCTGAGCGGCGCCGTGGCCAAAGGGTCCACCTTTTATTAATTTGGACAATGTAATGCGCCATCGTCAAGCTGGTCATAAATCTGGGCAAAACGAGCAGGCGTCATGTGAGTCCTTCAGCCGAGTTTCCTACAGAACAAAAGCCATTGAATTGCGTATGAAATGTAGTGCCCAACCTCGGGGTAGAAAATATCATCGCATTTCTCATGGCACGCTGCACATACATTCAGACAGTCCCAAAAAATAAAAATGAATAAAAAGAAAAGACAAAAATATTTCATAAATTGAATTGTATTTTTGCATTGTACCATATAGCCAAAAAACACCAAAATAAAAAATGAATAACAATCTATATGAAATAGTGCATAGAATGAATTTTTTCTTTGTGATTTATAACGCATTTAGAATATGGTCTCTAGGCGAACGGGCTTAACTAACATGTATCCTGTATTACAGGGATAAGCTTTTTTAATTTCTTTAGACTAAACCGCGAAGAGAGATTTATAACGCATTTAGAATATAGTCTATGGCTTAAGATGAACGTGATAAACTAGGATAGGATATCATAAAACTAATCTTTTAAAAGATATCCTCAGACGCTAAAATTGATATTTATCGATATGTGCAAGCCAGAGCAGAGCGAAGTTACATTCAGGTAGGTATATATACCCTAGATACCCTAGTTTATTCTCATGCTTTATCAATATCAGAGCCTTTAGCAAAGAAATAAATAAAAGCTGTGATAGATGATGATTGGGCGCAAAGTCCACTGCAGATTGCAGCTGCATTGTTAAAGGTTTAAACCGGAGCTCTAAAAAACTGTGCACCAAAAACTATTAAATTATGCCATACTCAACGGCTTATCGTTTCTTAAATATGATAAATTGTGGGGCAAAGTTAGGTCTAAGCAAATTAAATTGTTACGCTCGATTGCGGCGAGTGCTGCGTGGCATTAAAATTTTGGCAAAGATTTCCGCAGACGGCGTTCGTAAATTTGTGGCACGACCTTAGAGTGTGCGGCTGACAATTGCCACGCCCTTTGCCCAACGCCCAACGCCAACAGCCCGGCGGCAAAAACATTTTAAAATCACTGGCGAAGAGCGAATTGAATTTAAATTTGCTGATTATGCGGCCCAAACGCCACTTGGCCGTGTGCTCAAGTAGTGCGAATAATGGTTATATTGAGCCATAAAAGAAATTAAGTCAAACATTATTTTTAGCTCAGCCGAACAGCCTGCCCAGCTACACTGTGCTGCATGTTTTAGGCATGTGGGCAAGCACAACAAGCACCACCTTTTGAACTCGAGTTCGGGCAAATATTATTGATACATCGTCAGCTTCTCAATGGATTGTAAACGATTGTTGAAGAGCCTGCCTTGGAGGCAGCCCTGCGGGATGCCTCATATATATACATATATATATATATATATATATATATGGTCTATATGTGCGTCCTGTCTATCTGCGACGCATATTACAATATTTCGACATATTTTCAAGTGTTGTTGCTGTTGTTGTTTGATGCGGCCCCATGCGCGGCTTACAGATGATTTTCTGGGATTTACGACGCCAGCTCTCAGGCAAATAATAAAAAAGAGAATTTTACAATCCGCGCTGCGGGCGGGCGTCAGGAAGTTGTTAAATTACTTATAGATGGCGATGTGTCTGCCGTTTTTTTTTGTAATTTAAAAATGATTATTACATAAGCCGCCCGAGTGGGCAGGGGGAAATCAATGCATAAATTAGAATTTCGCCGTCTCTTTATTGTTATTCAAATGATTTGACAGTGGCGCTCTAATCAGGGCATTTGAGGCGCTCAAATGATAATGATTGACTGGCACTTGCAACGCCGAAGCTGTCAATAATTCAGAGCATGTGCCACGAGTTTTATAACCGCCAACGGCAGCGACATTGTAAAAGGACGAGCCAGCCCAGCCTGTCGATTTCCCAGGCGAGTTGCCCTAATCCTCCAGCATTGCCATTGTAATTAGGCCGCATTCGTTGCCTGCTCGTATTCGTATTCAAATTCAATTCATTTGCTCACTTTTGCAGCTCAAGTGCAGGCAGGTAATCCTTCAAGCATATCCCAATGCCAACCCACCCCTACCCCCTCGCAATCTGGGCACTTTAATGGCAACTATGTATGCACTTTCACAGGGCACGCTGATAATTTAATGTAAACTTTGCGGTCACGTGTCGACGTGCTCCCAAATGTAAGTAAATCAAAGCAAATTACACATCCATACACACACATGCGCACACATGTGTATGCTTGCCAGAGGCTAACCTCTAGCCGGGTTCCCTCGTCAACCCAAACCCAGAGGTTCACAAGTGTTTTGACATTTTAACGCGTTTTATGCTCAAAATGACCAGCAACAGCGGCTGCGGGAATCCGGGCACATGCAAGGGACCGGGGTCTATTGCCAAGGGAGCTCTTACACTTGTGCAATTGGTGGAAGTTTTGAACTAACTGTGAGAACTATTCGGTTCTCGAATATCAACCCTGTGAAGTAAACAGAAACGTGAACAACTGTACCTAGTTTTAGATTTATGCAAATGGGTTGATCTTGACAATGTTAATATAAGTTGCTAATTATTCAGATAGTATGGAATGTAGAGCACATGCATAAACTTATGGATAAAAAGGGTATAATGTTTTTCTGAAAATGCATCACTCAATACCTAGTGCAAGTCCGATAATCGGTAACATTCCTCGTATTCAAACAATCTATTATAATCGATATCTAAATGCTGTTTATTGATCAAATGTGTTTTTAAAGCGAGACTCACCACATTTTTCTTGTAATCTGAATTCCAATATGTTCAAACATGAACCATCGAGCCGCAAGCTGCAATATTTGGTTGAAGAACAGCCGAACCTAAGCCTGAACAATGTTTTTTATTACTATTCGATTTTTATTACTATTTAAAGCAATAAAACAGACATTCCTAGACATTGTTTGAAATGTGAAACGAATTAAATAAAATATAATTTTTATTAATATATATTTAATTTTTAAGAAACTACAAATAAATAAATAAATATGTTTAAGCAGATCTAGAAATTGCATCCCTTTTCAGCCTCTTGCTGTAGCGGCAACATTTGCGGCCCTTTCAGCTATATCCACAACCTGAATTGTTGCATCCCGAACATTTTGTCCAATGCGCTCCTGAAAACGTGAAATTTATAGGTATATATCATTAGTTATTAGGAAATGTAACTATTATGATTTATCTGGAAGTTAAAAACTTAATCTCTGTGCTCTTTTGGCTTACAATTCTCTTGCCAAGCCTTTTCCAAAAGTCGGCCTTAGCTTCTCCCATGCAAATAGCCAAAAGCAGCACAACGAAGATAAAGATCTTGTAGAAATTCATGTTCGACTTGGTAACAAAACTGGCTATGTTGCTGGAGCAATCGGAACCGAAAGACTGATGACCCACTGGACCGGCAGTAGATGCTTTTATATCCATCATCAACAAACGGGATTCGAATTTAAAGGGGAACTTTTGTTTGCCAGAAATTTCATGAAACAAATTTTGATATAAATCATCAAGTGTGATTCATGGGAAAGTCAATGTTTCATTTAAAGCGTGTCAAGCTATGTGAAACAAGATGTTTGCGATAAATTATTAACATTCGTAGAACTAATAAAATAATAAATGCAACATTTTTCAGCAGCTATGAATCACTTACTAAATACAACAAAGATAGTTAATCCGAATGGTTCTATGTCTTTAAAAATTATAAAACAATTACTGCCAACAAGTTCCTTAAACATTCATTGATTTATTAGATAAAGTAAACTGTATTCAATATTTCCTTTTCAGTTTCAAAACAACCAAACGGGTTCATCGGGTAGTAACAAAAAATCATTGTAAATAATTATTACACAATTAATAAAGAACTCGTCAAAAAAACGAACAAATATATTTATTAGCAACATACATTTAATTGATTTATAGGTATGTGAAAAACCTTTCAAAAATTACTCAAAAAATTGTTTATGAGCAAAGTTTATTTTAGATTATAATAAAAATTGCATACTCATATTCTTCAGTATTATAAATGAAACAACATTATTTATAATATTTAAAAAAAAAACATCAGTAGCTTTTATTATAAATTTAGCAGTAAAACAGCTCCTAGTAATATAATTTCGTAAGTAATTACAATTTTTCGTGCATGTTTCTAAAATGTTTCGCAAAAAATATAAGATTTTTTCATACTCAGTTTGAGATACTTAGCTTGAAATGCTCAAAATAGAATGGAAATGGCCTGCTTCATATTGAGAAAAATTCCCCTTCCAAGTTTGTAAAAATACAACTATATATTTCTACCTACCATATTTCGAACTACATTTTCATATCATTCCAGTAAAAAAATAAAACGTATGTTGTTCTTCGTTTTTCCAAAAATTATTTTATTTTAAAACGCTACGACTCAATAAATATATATATATTATAAAATAAATAAACAGGAATTGTAAATAATCTTAGCCCCTGGCCGTGGCGGCCACATTCGCAGCCTGTTGGGCAATTCCCAGTCCCTGGATGGTGGCATCCCGAGTGTGCTGGCCAATGCGTTCCTGTAAGTGTATATCTTTAATAAGTATTTGTTTATACCAAACAATATGGTTTATAGACTTACGATTTTCTTTCCAATCTTCTTCAACCAACCAGCCTCGGATTGACCCAAGCTGATGGCCAGGATGAGCGCAACGAAGATGAAGACCTTGTAGAAGTTCATGTTGAGTGTTGGTATTGAATATTCCTTGGAAACTAGGAGGTGGGCTTTGAGCTGTTGCTTTTGTTGCTGATGCTGAGCGACTGATGACTGATACGACCAGTCAGTGCCTCTTTTATAGCTCATATAGCTTCCCGATGCTGATAAGCCTCGCAGTGCAAAAACTCAACAATTGATGGATGAACGAGGGGATTTTGTTCGGCAAAAAAGTACACGGATCAAAAGCAAATACGGTGAGAGCAATAAAGTATTCCATAAAAAATATAATCTATAAATCATTTATGCATTAATGACAGATATAAAGTATGTTTTTGTATATAATTTCGTGCATCTAGCTCTTTTCAATTTTGAGATATAATCAGAAAACCTGGACTAGATTGAAGAATATATATACTTTATAAAGTCAAAGGAGATTCCTTCTGTTCTTAACATACATTAGCACAACCATATTATGCCCTTTTATATCCACTTTCAATAGGTGCAGAGCAAAAAAAAGCAATTCTAAACCCTACCCAGATTTCAAACATCGCCCCACAAACCTTTGTCATATAAGATGCAAAGCCAAAATGTTGGGTATTTCCGCATTCTTTTAATAAGCCCCACAGAAAATGTTGTCATATGAAATGGATTTGTGGGGAAACCACCAAAAATGCTTGTCATGAAACGGAGACAACTAAAAAATTGGGTGAAATACAAATGTTTTTTACTACAAATCAATTTATGAATGAAATCTTTCGCGGGTTTTTCTGCTTCCCGATTTCCGACTACAACTGTATTCAATATGTGTGAATATGCCACTGACCCGAACGGGTTGATAATATGACAATGACGAATGGGTTAAGCAAGCAAACACTTAATAAAGAACCAGGTGTGGTTGCTATTGTTGTTGTTAATGTTGTTGTTTCTGTTGTCATTGCACCTTATCAGCGTTTCTTCCCAGTTATCAGCATGTTGCGTCGATTGGTCCACTCTGCACTGGAGGTGCAAGCTGTGAATCCCAGTGGATTGGTTTGCGGGCAGATTTTCTTGACTCTCCTGAATACGTGACATTTTTCAGTGTTCAACTAGTAAAGGCAAATATTCTAAACACATTTATATAGCTTTGAACAATGAGAAAGTTCTGCTGCAAGTTCTTTAAAGCATTAACTTACATTTGTTATTTTGCATTTGAGATTGCATTTTGGTAAAATAGAAATTACAGTTTACTATTCCACATCCATTAACACAATTAAATTATTTAATAATAATGATAGTTGCTTTATTGATTACAAACAAAATACATACAAAAGAACCCTAGCTACTTTTCGAAATATTGTTTAATTTTTAGTAAGTGTAAACAAATTTATCAAAGACAAAAAACTTAAATGAATAAATTTCTGTGATGCCAGATCGCCATAGATTTAATACTTGGTTTGTCAGATTCTAAAAATTATTTTATTATGGTTACAAAGGATACCCGTGCCTAATGACTTTTCTATAATAAATAAACACATTTTAGTAACAAAAAATAATTTTGGGAACGTGCTCAAAAATAATAAATAAAAAATCCAACAAAAAATTAAAAGCTTCTCCAAATAATTATAATTTGAGACTGGCTATTAAAAGGCTATATAATTTTTAAGCGCTATTTACATTAACGCTACTCCCTTTAGAATTAATACATTTTGAAGTTCATAAAAATAGATTTTCTATTAAATAATTTTGAGTGCGTTTTTGAGAAATTATTTTCGTAGCTATAGAAATCTCCAAAAATTTTGAATGCCATGAAACCCGCAATTTGATACAATTGTATATGTTTTTTGTTAAATATATTTGATATTATATGTTTTTATTTTAAAACATTACAGCTAAATAAATAATTTTATAATAAATAAGCATGATTTGTCCATAATCTTAGCCCCTGGCCGTGGCGGCCACATTCGCAGCCTGCTGGGCAATTCCCAATCCCTGGATGGTGGCATCCCGAGTGTGCTGGCCAACGCGTTCCTGTAGTGGTAAATCAATCATAAGTAATTGCTCATACTAAAGATGTAGTTGAAAGACTTACGATTTTCTTGCCAATCTTCTTTAACCAACCAGCCTCGGATTGACCCAAGCTGATGGCCAGGATGAGCGCAACGAAGATGAAGACCTTGTAGAAGTTCATATTGAGTTCTGGTATTGAATATTCCTTGGAAACTAGGAGCTTTGCTTTGAGTTGTTGCTGTGGGTGCAGATGCTGAGCGACTGATGACTGATACGAAAATTCAGTGCCTTTTTTATAGCTCATATAGCTTCCCGATGCTGATAAGCCTCGCAGCGCAAAAACTCAACAATTGATGGATGCTCAAGGGGATTTTGCTCGGCGAAAAAGTACACGGAACAAAAGCACATAAGGTGAGAGTGGTAAAGTATGCCGTACAAAATATAATTTATGAATCATTTAAAAAACTTTGGGGCTATGTTTTTATAATTTTGTAATTCTATAAAAACTATTGATTCTGAGTGAAACCCAAGAGTTATTTTTGCAAGAAAAAGAACAAGTTAATGTGCTCAAGTTGGGAGTGCCTGGCTAAGATATACCGTACAGTCGGCGCCTAGCTGCCGTTTCCGACATTCAAAAATTCAAATAAAATCCACCTACCTGGCTAATTTTTTTGAAAAATGGCAAGAAACCCCCTTCAAGATTGAAGAGTATACATATATACTCTATGTAGTCAAAATAGCTTTCTTCTGCCTGTTACATGTGCATAAACCCATTATTTGTATACCCTTTCATATCCAAAGCAAATGGGTGTAGACCATAACAACCGATTATAAGCCTTACCCAGACTTAACACATCGCGTGACAAAGGTTTGCCATATAAGATGCAATGCCAAAATGTTGGGTATTTCCGCACTCTCTCAATTGGCCCCACAGATAATGTTGTCATATGAAGTGGCTTTGACGGGTAACCACCAAACATGTTTGTCATAAAAAAGATACAAACAAAAAATTCTGTGAAATACAAATGTTTCTTACTACAAATCAATTTATGAATGAAATTTCACGTGGGTTTTTCTGCTTCTCCATTTCCGACTACAACTGTATTCAATATGTGTGAATATGCCACTGACCCGATCGGGCTGATAATATGAACATTTCAATGTCGGATCAGTTTAGTGAGCAAACAAGTAAAAAGTAACCAGGTGTTGTCGCTATTGTTGTTGCACCTTATCAGCGTTTCTTCCCAGTTATCAGCTTGTTGCGTCGATTGCTCTACTCTGCTCTGGAGGTGCAAGCTGTGAATCCCAGTGGATCGATCCGCGGGCAGACTCTTTGGTTGACGCAGTGACTAAAACTGGGGTCACGATGCATTTTGCCAATTGATCTGATGCCTGCGCTTATTATGGACAATGCGTTCGTAAAAAAATTAAGAAATTATTACAAACCTATACTTAAGACGCTTTCTGCTATATATATAAATATATATTTCTTCTATACATTTATTAAGTCTTTAAGAGTTAGTTTAAGGAAATTCAGACTTAAAATAATTCTGATACCTTTTGGCTGAGCTTTTAAGCATGATATATTTGCATTTTTTCAGACCTTAACTATTATTTAGAAAAGAAAAATATTGTAAACACTTTTATTAGCTTCGATCCATCAGCATGATTCTAATGAGGGTTCTTCGAAGTACGCAGAATATTCCATTTAAAACCTTGTTTACCAGACTCTAAAATGCATTTATTATTTATAAGTATTTATTATTTACGGTATCAAAAAATAACCCCGTGTAATCACTTGCCAATAAATAATGAACATATTTTAGTAATAAGAAACTTAATTAGAACATGCAAAAAATAAATAAACAGTTAATCAATAAATTAGCAAAAGAAAAACCATGAGGCTATTTGCTATAATTTAGAACAAACACAAATTATATGTATTAAATATATTTATATATAAAAATATCTAAAGCTATTTTAAGGCATTCTTTTCGTAGCTGCATCTCAAATGAAATAATAATCATAATTTTGGATGCCATGAATCCCGGAAAATGAAACTAAGAAATTTAAATGTTGAAATTATATTTTTTACTTAAAACGCTACAACTAAATAAATACATTTTTAATAAATAAACAGGAATTGTAAATAATCTTAGCCCCTGGCCGTGGCGGCCACATTCGCAGCCTGTTGGGCAATTCCCAGTCCCTGGATGGTGGCATCCCGAGTGTGCTGGCCAATGCGTTCCTGTAAGTGTAAATCTTTAATAAGTATTTGTTTATACTAAACAATATGGTTAATAGACTTACGATTTTCTTGCCAATCTTCTTCAACCAACCAGCCTCGGATTGACCCAAGCTGATGGCCAGGATGAGCGCAACGAAGATGAAGACCTTGTAGAAGTTCATATTGAGTTCTAGTATTGAATATTCCTTGGAAACTAGGAGCTGGGATTTGAGGTGTTGCTTTTGTTGCTGATGCTGAGCGACTGATGACTGATACGACAGTGGGTGCCTCTTTTATAGCTCATATAGCTCTCCGGCGGTGATAAGCCTCGCAGCGCAAAGACAAAACAGATCGATCGTTGGGGCTCGGGGATTTTGTTTGTGAACAGACAATTTGTGCTTCCCGCTAGCAGGGCTTGCAGAATAAACACAAAAGGTAGGCAGGTTATCGAAATTTCGTTTGCAATATCGAGAGTAGACTTTTTTTAGGCAGAGTAAAGTTGAGCATTGGATATAGGACAGTATGAAATGATGTACAAACTTAGCCTAACTTAACACTGTCTTTAGCCAGGGGCTGTAGCAGAACTGGGAGCCACAGAGCATGGCTAGTAGCACAAAGAAACCAAATATACTTGTTTTAAAATTTTCTAATATTTACTTCTCTAACCAATCTTCTTCAACCAACCAGCCTCGCTTTGGCCCAAGCTGGTGGCCAGAATGAGAAGCACAAACATGATTGTCTTGTTGAAATTGGTAATAAATAGGCTAAAAGTGTAGCTTGCACAGATGTGTGTAGATGTTGGCATTTTTATACAAAGCCAAGCCATTCCGAATTTAACAAATAACTATTGATTAAAATTTAGAACGATTAGTTTGTTACCAGGCTGCGGCAATTCCGAAACTCGTTTCATTTGCTTAGCTTGAAATTGTTTGCAAGCATAATATTTGGTCTGGGCAAATTGCAATCTAGTGCGGATCGAGAAGTCAACTGTACCCGTGTCCAAAGCCGACAATTAGTGGGCGTGGCAACTGAAACACTGTCAACCACCAAAACAAAGAAACAAGCAACAAAAAGCGACTCGTAGCAAAGACAACAAATGAATTAAATCAAGGAAGGCAACGCCGAGCACAAGCCTAGGAGCAGGAGCAGGATGTGCCCATTGTCAGGATATGCCACTAATTTCCTTAACAAGTGAAACGCTTTACGCTTCTGGGTCTTGACTTTAGCCAAGCGCCACAACAGTTGCCAAGTGTTGCCCTGCCCCCCCCAACCACCTTCACCCTGCCGCTGCATCCCTCCGCCAAAAAGTATCTGCTGCTGCTGCTCTACTTTCCGGTTCTGCGGCGGCCTTTTGCTAAAATGTAAATAGAATCGCTTGAATTAACCGCTGAGTGACAAGCGCAGCCTGCCTGGCACTACAGGCAGCTCATAACAGCCCCAAACACCCAGACCCCGACCATCTAGTTGCGACTCCGACTCAGCCACAGGCTCAGACAGACTGGCACACTGGGGTATATTCCTGTAAAAGACTTTGAGCGTCCAGAGAAGCGTAAATAAGACAATAAATGCAACTGGTTTTTTGTTGCTGTCATCTATTTTGCATTTGAGGGTAGGGTATTCGAGTGCAAACATCTTTTGAAAACCAGTTAATATCATAAGAGCACAGCATAATACATTCAAATTTAAAACATGTATACATTTAGCCCTTATAAATGTACGCTTTATAATTATAATAAATTAATAATTGTGTATAAACCATATATAATATCTGCTGGGTAAACAAAGCTCATAAAAGGGCGACAAAAATAAAATAAATGCAATTTATTGGCGAATATTAACACAGCAGGCTGCAGGCTGCATTCAATCTATAATTATAGAGTATATTTATTATAGACTTTAATACTGTGCAAATGTTTATCCAAAGAGTTGACTGTCTAATTAAAAGACAACGCTCGAAACAGCGGAGCGGCACAGTAAAAACTGCAGTCTAGACAGTTATGGAAGATGAGAACTAAGTTCCTCATAAGTTTATCTGTTACACTTAAGGGCCTCTTTGTGCTGGTCTCACAAGCGCGGAGGTGCACTGAGGGAGAACTTCAGGGTCAATTTAATATACGACTGTCTCTCTCTCTCTTTCTCTCTCTCGATATGAACACCCAAACGACATGTGCATAAACATGCATACAATTATACTTCCAGCGAGCTTTATTATCTTTTATCTATTGTATAGATTTACTTAGCTGGTATCTGAACATCGCGGGGAATTTTTCTTTGAGTCTCTCCGCAAATCGATCCACTGGGACTCACAGCTTGCACCGCCAGAGCAGAGTAGAGCAATTCACGCAGCAAGCTGATAACTGGGAAGAAACGCTGATAACGCGCTATGGCAACGGAGACAGAGCAACAACACCTGGCTGACTTTTAAGTGTTTGCACACTAAACTGATCCGACATTGAAAATATTCATATTATCAGCCCGATCGGGTCAGTGGCATATTCACACATATTGAATACAGTTGTAGTCGGAAATGGGGAAGCAGAAAAACCCACGTGAAGTTTCATTCATAAATTGATTTGTAGTAAAAATGTTGTAGTTGTCTCTGTTTCATGGCAAGCATTTTTGGTGGTTACCCGACAAATCCACTTCATATGTCAATCCTATCTGTGGGGCCAATTGCGAGCGTGCGGAAATACCCAACATTTTGGCATTGCATCTTACATGGCAAAGCTTTGTTGTGAGGATTAGAATTTTTAAATTTTGAATCTAACTTGGGGCTTCTGACCATATCTCGAAGCTTAATAGAACTAGATACGTGAAATTTTTGGAGTCTTCTTAACTGCAGCCTGCTTAAGTAACTTTTTCTTACAATATAATCTTTTGAATAATTATTCAGTATTAATAGATTTTATAGAATTTATTACATATACTATAACATCCGACGTTTATGTTTAAGTCGATCATATAAATATTGTTTACGGCATATCTTAACATTCTCTGCACTTGCTTTTGCTTTGCTTGCTTTTGATCCGTGTACTTTTTCGCCGAGCAAAATCCCCTCGTTCATCCATCAATTGTTGAGTTTTTGCGCT